TTACGTGGTAGTAGTTCAAACCAAATACCTTCCTCTAAGAATGTAATTACAAGACTATAGTATGCCTGGTTCATTTCTTAAAGGTCCATTTCATCCTTTGACTTGTAATGTATTAGAAGTTGTGGTTGTTAGGTGCCTTTCAGGTGACTCACAGCAACACCATGAACGACAGATCTGAACTGGGCCCTGTCCTGAGCCACCCTCACGATCCCTCACCTGCTTCAGCCCATTGTTCCAGTCACTGTGTCAATCCAACTGATTGAAGGTTTTCTTCTTTCACTGACCCGCCACCTTCCCATGCATGGATGTTTCTTTCCAAAGACTTGTCACTCCTAACAACATACTCAAAGTACGTGAGATGAAGTTTCATCATCAATTCTTGCCTCTAAAAAGCACCCTGGCTGTACTTCCTTCCACGAGGAAGACAGACTTGTCTATTCTTTTAGTAGTTCATGGAATATGAATATTATCTCACAACTGACAGGGTTTTCTTTAAGAGGGATACTTAAATGTTTTTTATAATGGATGTGATGCCAGTCCCCTCCAGGCTTTGATCGTGTAATTATCTGACTCAAAATGGCCAGTATCAGTTCAACTGCCTACTGCACAGGATATCTATTTTCATACGTTGCTTGTCCTTTTTTTGACAACTCCTATTTTCCTTGACTCATCATTAGTAAATCCCATGTTCCAATTCTTGGTGGGTGTTTGTCACTGCTGCTTCTCATTGAGTCATGCCACACTGGCAAATAAAGATCAAGAATACTCAACTCCAGCCAAGTCATTAAGGTCAACTCTACCTTGAGGGGGTAGCACTTCTGTAGTTGTATTTTGAGTGTCTTCGACCTAATGGGCTCACCGTCTGGCATGACACACAATGTTTGGCTGCAATTGACAGTCTTGACTGGCCAGTTTTCAGAAGATCACCAGGTCCTTCTTCCTATTCCTGGATCCTCCACTGAAACCTGTTGGCATCTGAAATACCGATGGCATAGCTTCCAACATCACAGCAATATACAAGCCACCACAGCACAACAAAGGAGAGGTGAGTGGTGGATTATAAGGAGTGGAGACATACATGTCATCTGGTTTCTAGGCATTTTTTTCCCTCAGAAACACAAATAACAGTCATTAGGCACAGGTTGTGCCAGATCACATCAGGGGAAACTTCCTGAGGTCAGTCATTTAGTAGCACTGGCGGTTTAAAATTTTGAGGAAGGAAAAGTACTCATCCACTTAGCAAAACAGTTTAAAATAACTAAAGGAAATTGATTGCTGTTCTTGGAAAGAAGCCCACAATGTAGCTGCAACCATTTACAAGACCTACTATTTTTTCCCCAGCATTAAAGGTGCTCCAGGAAACTGATGTTTGTTATATTGTGTATTAATATTCTCTCCACACCAGCCTTGTCCTTTTTTTAAAAAAAATACTATACTTATTAAAATATATTTAATTATAATTTTAAGTACTGCATTAGCTACTCTTGAACTAAAATCTATTACACAAAATATATGAAAAACTATTGGAAGTGTATAGACCAGGAGTGTGTCCTATCTCCATACCTTTTAGCCTTGTCCTTCCTTGTGTGGAACCATAATCCTTAAACTCTCAAGGTTCTTTGGTGCCTTCTTTCCTTGTATCCATGCATGTACCAAAAAAAGTTTTCTGTGCAATGCATTCAAACACACACTCTTTACGTAACTCAAACATTCCTAGAGTTTCATCTCGGAGCAACTGTTCCTATGAGCTTTCCTGATAATGTCTGCATTACTAATATTCAGATGTCCCTATTCTCAGAAGAATGTCTATTTGTGTTTTATTGACTATGCAAAGGAATATGACTGTGTGGCATAACAAATTATGGCTAACATGGGGAAGAATGGGAATCTCAGAACCCTTAAAGCAAAGCCTACACCTAGAGGAAGAGGCTATTGTGTGAACAGAGCAAGGGAACACTATGTGGCTTAAAATTAAGAAAGGTGTGCATCAGGGTTATATCCTTTCTTCACAGCTATTCAATCTGGATATTGAACAAATTATTTGAGAAGCTTGATGACACACATCATCATCATATTATTAAGTGGTTTTGTTTAGGATTCAGTTATGTAGATAATGACACATATAGAGACCAAAAAAGACCAATATATATCACTTTTGTATTTATTACATGTTTAACTGAACATTTCAAATTACAGAATGCAACACCAAAATAAGGTAATTAATATTTGCTAAATAGTTATTCGCTTGCATTTTTCCTTCTAAAATTTTAACACAGCAAAATATCTTAAACACATGAACAGGTTCAATGCACTTTCAGTGGTTCACAATCATGACACAATGACCACATCTGTTCATAAAAATGTAAGGCAAAGAGCTTAACATTTTTAAAATGTTAACATTAAATAAGGAAGAAAAAAACAAAATACTGTATTTTTACCACAATGGTTTTGGTAAGTGATAGAATATTGTTTAAAAGAATGCTCCTGTGCAGAACCTACGTTGTGCTTGGGATGCTTGGCACATGAGCACTCAGTAACCACTCAGCTTCCATCGACAAGATGGCCAGTAGCATTCCCGACTTGAGCCTCTTTCTCCTGGAGTCTGATTAGCCTGCCCTCAGAACCATTTGGCCAGGAGCCTGCTCTCTTTCTCATATTTCCTGTCTACCTTTTATTCACCCTCAGGTTCACACTTGCCATCATCTCTATTCTCATCAAAGATGTTTGGTACAGAACTCAACATGGCCAAACATCCTTGTCACAGCTTCTGCCCTGATGCTACTTCATTCACCGGGCTAAAGTGTGGCTGTAAGGTAAAGAGAATGAGTCCACACGCAAAATTCATTCCCCCTACTTTATAGTTACATGCCCAACAATTCAAAAAAGGCTGATAATGCCAGATTTAGAATTTAAAACATTCAGTAAGTTTAGGTAGAATATATCAGAAGTTCTTTAAAATCTACTTTTTTTGTTTTCAAAATTATAAAAATATAAAAACTGTAAACATTCCACCAAGCACTTCCATTAGAACTTTTCACTTAGCTTTTTATTTAGTAGGCTCAGAAAGAATATATTTCATAATCCCTTTGGATGACCCAAAAATCATGGTCTCGGCCCTAAACTTTCTAATAGACATTTCTATCATTAGAAGGCTCTTTACACTATCTGGACAACAGCTGTTGCCACTCATGAACACCCTGTAAGAAAGAAGAGGAGCTCACTGGACTCTTTCCCAGACAGTTGTCCAGCAGTGTGCTCTGCATCATAGGTTCCCTGCCCCAGACCTGACGCAGGCTCAGTAGCTATGGAAACATATGGAAGGACACAAAAGCTCCAAGCACCTACTCTGCCATAATGCCATACTGCATTACATAATAAGAAGGGCCTCTTCTTTGTCAGAGTAACAGCAGAATCAAGTAAGTAAGGAACTAAGGGGAGGGATGTTGCTGACAGTTAGGCCTAACAACAAAGCTGCTAAGGCTGTCCACCAGCACTCACCTGGCAGCACCTTCCCTTCACTATGACACTGCTGGGAGTTTAAGGTCGAGTCTGATTTTCTATTCAAAAGGAAGAGCCAGGAAATTCCAGCCACTTACCATTGTTCTTGCAGCAAAGTTTTATTGTAAGTTTTTAAAAGAATGAAAGTAACAAAGTGTTATATCATAAAATTAATAACTTAATCATAAAAAAATACTGCCCTTTTTTGGAGAGGAATAGTTCAGACACCATGACTAATGAAATCTACTAACACTGGGGAAACCCCTTAGCATCTTTGTCAGCTATAATTAATGAGATAACTGAAACCCAGAACTCCTGACTGGGCTGATAAACAGTACCAATTAACAGTACAGTGACTTCAAACGGCTGACTGGATAGTCTCTATAGTGAACTATCAACGAAGGTGAAATTATAACTATTAGACACAGCACCATAATGTTTTGTAAAATACTATTTCCATTTTTAACAATACCAACCCAACATTTTGGTCCACCATTCATTAATCTTAACCTCTTCTTTTCTTGATTAGCATTCTGACAAAGGCCACAGAGATGACACTGGGGTTTCACTGAAGTACCCACATGGTATATTTCAGACAGTCACTGGCTTGGCTCTAGCCATTGACTACCAGTGGATTCAAAGGTTAGGAAGGGTGATTATGCCTTTTATATATTCCCAAATTTAAACTAGGTAAAAGAACATAAAAAGTACTAACTTGCCATTACTCGAAAGGCCTTTTATATGTTTGCTTTGGTACTGTGTGCTCTTATGGGTTTTGCTGCTATATGGTCTTATTTAATAAATGGCTTTTAGTTTTAAAAATAAGAAACCAGTGATTCACTTTGAATTTTAGAAATAAATGTAGCTGGAAAACAAATATTATAGTCAAATTAGATGGAATTATGTGTAACAAATTCTTATAGTAAAAGCATTTATTTACCACAGATTTGTTTCCCTAATATCCAGCATGCTCTTGGATCTTCTACACCTGCTAGTGTGGGTTACGCAAACTCACTTCAACACTCATCTAAGCAAAAGGTAATATTGCCTGCCAAAAGAGGATACAGTGCATTCCAAGCACGGATATGAGTTAGTTTTACAATATCAATTCTCTGTCTCCTCTCCATTCATTAATGCAGAAAACTGAGACTTGGTTTTACTACCAATCAGCACTAGAGTCAATTTACTATAAAATCATTTATAACAAAATAAATATTTTTCAATGCCTCTATACTAAGAGATATAGAAATCATTAGCAGTTTATAACATCAGCTTAGGTCACTCTTTTGGGACCCAAACATACTGTACAATCCTGAGTAAAAAGTTAAGGATACAATTTCTTGGGCATCTTTCTTGGCCAGAAATCATGGGGCACATAAAACCACAATTCACAAGAATCCCCACTTTCATTAGAAGTACCATAAGTTCTTTTTACTTTGGTAAATATCTTTATCTATGTAAACCTTTATTTTTGATGGAGTAAAATATGAGCAGAGCTTCTGCTAGGAACCCTCCATCACTTTTTGACACTGATAGAGTAAATAGTCGGGAAGAGCAGAGCAGGAGGATCTGAACCACAGGGCTAACACGTCGGCGTGAACTCGGAAATGCAGCAGGCAGGGGACGGATGGGAGCAGCCTACAGGCCAACAGCCCTTCACTGCCTGCAACAAAGCAGAACGTTTCAATTCCTTAACATAGTCAGAACAACACATTCAACTTAAAAATACTTTGTTGTTGTTTAAGGTGCCATCAAGTCTTAGATGACTCATGGCGACCCTATGAACGAAAGACCTGAACACTCATATGACTTTCCTCTTTTCTGCAAATTCAAAGAGTTTCTGGAGGCAAGGTATTTCAGAAGTGGTTGCCACTCCTGCTTCCAAGCTTGTTTTAATAGGGAAGCTCCACCAAACACTGTCCACCATGGGTAACCACTGTTGCATTCGACACATGAGTGTCACAGTGTTTAGCATTACAGCAACCCGAGTTAACTCTGTATAGCAAATAGACAGACTAGTGCTGTGCCACTTAGAAGAATGTTTGACAAAAACCAATTAAAACCAGGCCTGAGGGCAACAGATTAAAATCATCCACCTTTGACTTGGTAGCCTAAGAGTTCTATGTTGGTGGTGGTGGTGTTGAAAATACTTAGAACAGGAACTATTACAGCTCTAAGGAATCTGGCACTCCTAAGAGTTAATTTGCATTTTGATCATGGAAAAGTCCCTATAAATACAGGATTGCCTTTTTGTAACTTTACCAACCTATAATGTCGACAATGTGAAGTCGGAGTTTCTGCTGCAGGGTCTTGAGGGCAGAAGGCAAAGCAGCTTGAGATTCTGACACTTTTACATTTTGCTTCACATCATTTGCAAAGGATAGCCAAAGCTTGCCAAAGTCTTCAGTAGAGATTTGTAAAGGTCTGAAAAAGTATTTTCAAAATTAGAGCTATAGCAAAAGAATGACTCTAAACAAATATATTTCAAATTAAACATGAGAATAAATATAAATAATAAATCTAGATCTCATTATGTTTTTAATCAGTCATTATTAGAATGCTTAGGATCATCTTCCAGTCTGATGAAATAATGATAACAGATGTTTTTCAATTAGTGTCTTTTCAACAAAAGCACCCAAGTTGTCTATTGGTCATTAGAGAAGATTTTACCAATTGTTGTTGTTGTTGTTATGTGCCGTTGAGTCGCCTGCGACTCATAGCGACCCTATGTACAACAGCCCTAAACTCCGCTCTGTCCTGTGCCAATCGTATTGTCTCTGACACTCCCATCCCAAT